GAAGAAGTTCTTCCTCATGTTCAGACGGAACTTCCTGTGCTTCAGTTTGTGCCCATTGCCCCTTGTCCTGTCACTGGGCACCACTGAAAAGAGTTTGGCCCCATCCTCCTGACACCCACCCTTCAGATATTTGTAAGCATTTATTAGGTCCCCTCGCAGCCTTCACTTCTTCAGGCTGAACAAGCCCAGCTCCCTCAGCCTCTCCTCGTAGGAGAGATGCTCCAGTCCCCTCACCATCCTCGTAGCCCTCCGCTGGACTCTCTCCAGTAGCTCCTCATCCTTCTTGAAGTGGGGAGCCCAGAACTGGACACAGTACTCCAAATGGAACCTCACTAGGGCAGAGTAGAGGGGGAGGAGAACCTCCCTCGACCTGCTGGCCACACTCCTCTTAATGCACCCCAGGATACCATTGGCCTTCTTGGCAACCAGGGCACACTGCTGGCTCATGGTCAACTTGTCATCCACCAGGACACCCAGGTCCCTCTCCGCAGAGCTGCTCTCCAGCAGGTGAGGAGGGGCCCCAGCTCAGCTTCACACTCCTCATTTTTGTTGAGCAAAGGGATCATTGGGTTAAACCACAAGGGGGAAAACCTGTTTTAATAGCTCAAGGTCTCTCTTTTACTTTCTTCCCTTTTTTAATTAAAGGATAATTTGTGAGTGCAGATCAGAAACAGGCTCTTTCAGCTCAAAACAATATTTGGAAAAGCTCAGGGTCTGAAATGAAATAGTACATAAATAAGCGTCTCCTTGCTGGTCACTAGGACCCCTTGCTGCCCTTTCTTAGTATGGTGCCTTACTATAGCTACTACAGCTATACACACACCCCCCAACAAAAAAAGGTAGAACCAGGGAGGAATTCTCTTCTACTACTTTCAATAACATAGACGCAAACTAATAGCATCAAGTATAAAAGCATAAAGCCTATCTATGCCACAGGTGCTACACACCTACAGCAATGTGCCTTAATCACAGACATCACTGGTGCAGCAGCCATTTTCCCATATCATGGCCTTTCTAAAGGTTTGTGCCTGCATAGCCCTGGGAAGAGAGCATTTACAGGTACATCCACCCCTTGGCTGCCATCCCTATTTTAGGGAACAGCTCCATCAAGACACAGCTATAAGACAGTGACCTGGATTGTGGTTAAGACGGGATGTCCTGTGCAGCACAGCTATGCACACTGTTTTTTTGGCACATAGCACCAGGATTATACATAGACACAGCTGTCATCTTTTGGGAACTCTTCACAACTTTCTTTTCAGCAGTAAAAGCACATCTGGGATGAAGTTCAACTTGCTATGACCCTTATCTTTCTCAGCTGCAGGAGGTGCACCCTCCCACCACCCCACCTCCATCTCAGGGATCCTGCCTCTCAGCACAAATGCCTGGGTGCTGACCATCACCCTGGCATGGGCAGCAACACTTAACACTTTCACTTGCCCAAGACAGGCATTGCCCCTTAAGAGGCCAAGCAGTGAGAGCAGCAACTGGCAGAACCCTCAGAGCCTCCCTCTACCGCCTCACGGCCCAGGGTCCTGCGTGGGCTGGGCACAGGGCAGGCCCAACCAACAGCTGTGGAGGCGACCAACAGTTGTCCAAAGGGGCTTCAGGTTCTGTGCACTGGCACCTTTCTCATTCATTGCAAGTGTGGCCAGCATTAGTAGCATACTTATAATACAGCACCTCAGATTAAAGGAATGAAAATGGGAGGATGCCTGCTTCTATTAGAAAGATCTTTCTAGATATCCATAATTGTATATTGTTTGAAATTCATTAGTGCTTTACCTAAAAATGAACCCGTGACCTGTGTTAGCCTTATTTTCTTATTAGTTTCAATTTTAAAATTACAGTAACTATTTTCTATCAAGTCTTTTATGTGCATTTAGTTGTTAAATAATTGTCCACTACTTGTCAAGTATCAGTTTCATATTCCAAGGCTGTGAACTACATCAGATTATGTCTTCTGAAATAACTATCACTCAGACTACAGCAACTATAACAGAAAAATCCTGTTACATGATCTTTGTGTGCGGTGTGTGTAGCACTATTTTTAAATGCACACTTCTGCTGGGTGACAACTCCTAAAGTTACAGAAAAGGCACTACTAAATCATTCTGCCAACTTGCTAGAGTCGTGTCTTACCCTTCCCCAGAAGTTGCCTACTACTTTGTTTCTCTTTTAATAGAAACGTAACTATATAGTTAAGAGTAGAAAGTACTCTGGTTCCATTGTTGAACTCATGGCAGGTTATTCTTGGAGAAGTGTCAACAGTTTGCAGTGCTGTGTTGAGCACTTAAGCAAGACCTTCAGCTTTGAGATCACATAAAAAGGGATGACACTGCTGTGTTCAGGTTACCAGAGCCTCACACTTCTGTCCTCTTATCAGGTAGAGATCAAAGGGGAGGGGAGTCAAAGATTCTCATTATATGACAATGGGCAGGTTGGAAGAAAAAAATCACTGACCTTACAGTAGGAGCAGGGAAAAAAATATCGCAGCAATCCGTAGCTACTTCAAGTGCAGAAACATTTGTTTGGTAGGTGTTTTTAAAATTTTTTTTTCAACCTTGTAGCCCCCTAAAATTTCCAGTGAAGGTGCAAGCTCCTATAGAACTGAATCCTACCAGCAAGAGGTTTACTTTTCTCACTTCTCTTCTGTTGAGTCTTTAGGAACAGGTCACAGATCCCCAGCAGCCTTGTGGACCACAGGTTGAAGTCCTCTGTCCTGGCAGAAAGAAATGAAGCCCTCTGATTGCTGAGAGATCACTAATACATCGTAACTCATCTCACTGCAAAAATTCCTCCCCACCACCCACCCATCTACGATCCACATTCGGCTACAGAATGATGCTTGTCACATAAGCAACCATTTGTTCTGTGCATGATGACAGGACCAAGGCAACACTGCTATTAAAAATTCACCTTCATCTCCAAGAAAAAACTGTCTGGAACCATGAATGCCTAGTTACCATCACTTGCTTTGCAGCTGAAAAAAATATCAAAAAATCTGAACATGTGTATGACATTAGCTTTTGTTCAGCGAAGCCACAATCTATTTGCATAACGTACCTTCACCATTTCTCTCACAAGAAACCTCCATGTCTCGGAATAAAGCTAATCTCTCCCCTTTGCCTTGTCCCTGCTACTGCCTATACCCTTCTAATCTTGCTACAAGTACACCTTGCTTTCGCAAACAACACGTACTGACTGTCAAAATGGCATCTAACTTTCTTTGCTAGGAAAAGGTTACTAAAATAGGAATTAGGGGGGCAGACAGTCAAAGAGGAATAGGCAAGAGTAACACACAGCCTTGTCAGACCTTACTTTGTGAAAAGTTGAAAAAGACATGACTTGTGCTGCATCTGACACACCATTAGCTTCACATAGTGAACTGAGGTCACTAGACTGCCCCTCTCCCTACAGTCTGGCTGGATTTTTGCATGTATGTGTATATATAAGCACATGTATATACGTGTATGTGTATCTGTCCATGTGTATGCACACATTTGTACGTGCTTTCAGGCTCTCAGAAGAACGTCTGTATTAGAGTTCCAGGTCATTTTTGGCACCTGTCACCCTATAATTTAGGCCAAGAAAAGCCCTTTTAAAGTCTGAATGGTTATTATCTAAGAGTAAAAGTAAAGCTAGCTCTCCTGCACAACCAAATCTCTCCTTTCTGCAAAAGAAGTAACACACAGGACAAATTTCAGAATCTCTTGCTTATCTGCCATTCACCCATGAGCTTCACAAATACTGAAAGTCCTTTGACGGACTTTTGACTTCAGCACTCTGGCTCCAAAAACAGAGACAGTGCATAAATACCAGAAAGAAAAAGCTTAGATTCTCACAAGCTGAAGAACCTGACTGACTAGAAGATGGCTGCTTAACAGCTTTTTGGCAGTAAATTACTTTAACAGTAATATCTGACATAATGTCACTTGAGTAAGTTAATATCAAAGCTCACTTAACTGATAAAATTATTTTAGAATATCTTGTCAACAAGTAACAGGATCAGAAGATATTTCATTCCCTCATTCAGCACACCTTCAGCATTGAAGGACAGCTAAGAAATCACCACATCCATTGGTAACATCCCTTCACTGCATTAAAACATAATTCTCTCAGGAAAAGATCATTCCAGTGGAAGCACTGTTTCATGCACAGAAGCCATTTTCTACCCTCTCTGTAGCTTAGATGCTGGCACTTGAACTCAGATGGGATCAGATCAGAAGTCCATCCTTTTAATGCCCTCTGACACCAGCCAATACCAGACATTTCTGCAGAAACCAAAAAGGCTGTTAAGAGATGCAGAGGCGAGGACAGTCTGCCCCTTCAAGTTCCACCTTCATCTCTGAATCAGCTCCAATTCTGGGAACGGAGTATAATGCTTCGTTCTAAATGTAACTCCAATTCAGCTTCATTAACTTGTCCCTCTATTCTTGTACTACAAAAAAAGACAAGACTTCTCTACCCTACTTGCTTCACAGTACTCAGTTTTATAAAAATTCGGTATTTGTCTTTTCTTTCCTAAGGAACTTAAGTCTTGGTCCTCCCAGTGGCTTCATAGGAGAAATTTTTTCCCACTCATTTTATTGCCCTTCTTCAAATCCCTCTACTTCAGACTTTTTTTTCAAGCACCGAGCTGTACAACACACTTTATTTTAGGTGAAGTCCAGTGACTGGTAGAATACTTTGCTCATACTATGTGTGCTAGCATCCATTTCTGACCACAGCTGTATGTGCCTTCAGCAATAATCAAGATATCTTTCTTCTCCTAGTAATGTTAACTCTTTTCTTAGTGTGTCAGTAGTTAATTTGTCTCTCATCAAAAAAACCAAACAAACCCAAACCTAGATCTTCGTTACAGTGCAGTCTAGTCATCTTTCTTGCTTACATTTTTGTATGACATGACTGGCTGGGTAGACAAAGGGAGAGCCGTGGATGTTGTCCACCTTGACTTCAGCAAGGCTTTCGACACAGTCTCCCATGATATCCTCCTAGGGAAGCTGAGGAAGTGCGGGCTGGATGAGCGGTTGGTGAGGTGGATTGAGAACTGGCTGAATGGCAGAACTCAGAGGGTTGTCATCAGCGGCGCTGAGTCTAGTTGGAGGCTGGTAACTAGTGGTGTCCCCCAGGGGTCAGTACTGGGCCCAGTCTTGTTCAACTTCTTCATCAACGACCTGGATGAAGAGTTAGAATGTACCCTCCGCAAGTTTGCTGATGACACCAAACGGGGAGGTGTGGTAGACACACCGGAAGGCTGTGCTGCCATTCAGCGTGACCTGGAT